TGGTGTACGTAAGTTATTAGGCTCTCTCCTCTCTTGAACTAGCATTGGAGAGTGAGTTCTACCCAAGCCCCTCCACTTTATCAATAGTTAAGTAAATATGCGAGAATGAATGGTGTAATTGTAATTATCTTGTGCTAGGCTCTATTCTAGTCTTCACAAGCCAAGTTCAAACAACTTTGCGGCTTCTAAGGTCTACGAAATTAAGTAAGATCAAAGGAGAGTGAAATCGCAATACTTCTTATTTTCTTGAAGTCTAAAGAGGCCTAAATGGTCAAATCTAAATTAAATATCTAGTTTTTTTTTTTTTTGTGTGTGTGTGTGTGTGTGTGTGTGTGTGTGTGTGTGTGTGTGTGTGTGTTTTTGTTTTGTCATGTCTAACTTTAGTGTAAAGTTTGTTATTTACATTAAAAATATGTGAAAACTAACATTTTTGTATGTTTACATACTATTGATAATTATGACAATAATAACAAAGTAAAAACTATAAATGTGGTGTTGGTGATAATAAAGATCCTGGTGTTATCCATGATGGTGAAATAATGGTGCTGGTATTTTAAGATAGTGACTTAAATAGTTTTTATGAAATGAAATAGGAATAGTGACTGAGATGAGGAGGAATAGTGGCTTAGATAAAATTTGGATGAAATAAAGGAGGAAACATATGACAGAAACTACTCTTACAATAGGAGATTCTTTAAAGATATTTTCTATTAAGGTAAAACTAAAAAGATTCCACCCTTTTCATTCAGACATAAAATATCTTAGAATAAATGTCAAGTAAACAAACAACCTAAAATGTTTAATTACTGACATTAAGTTAAATTCATACTTCAAAAATATTACCAAAAAGAAAAACCTATGGGTGCTCAATAAATGAAAAATATCTAATGATATCCCTTTAGGGGCATTATTATTTGTATATTAGGGTACATTAGTATGATATGATGGGGAACACACTACAACATGCAACATTCCAGTGCAACAAACATGTAATATTCTTTTGAACATGAAAAACAATGTAGTGACCTGACTCAAGAAACCTTTGACAGAATTATCACATATGGAATTCCATCATCTTTCACTAATAAAACCAGGAAGTATTTGCTAATAATCATGTTACGGATAAAGGCCAAAACAATTTTTGAGATAATTAAGGTAGCAGCAGTTTGGAACCTGATGAACAAACTTTACTGATATGGTATATAGATTTGTTGTTTGCTAGCAAACTAGAAACTGATAAGATAACAGAAGTGTTCTCCTATATTCTAACAATGCAAAATATAGGTTGAATTGACTCCTTGTAAGCTTGCGAGCCTGTCAAGTGTCACATATCCCACATCAAAAGGGAAATGGGGAGAAGGGAAATGGGGAGAAGGGAGGTCTTGGTTTTATAAGAGAGGGACTCCCTTCACCTAATAGGTTAGTCTTTTGGGTTTGAAACTCCTAACCCGTTACATAAGGCTCACATAAATTAAAAAAACCCCAAATACCCAAGGACTCCCAAATTGCAAAACACAATCTAGAGCTCATTTTTGTTTTTGCTCTCCATCACCCAGCCTCCCAAATTGCAACGCAAAGCTTCTCCTCAATTTCTGCAAAAGCATTATCATTAGTATTCATCACCGATTCGCCATTTCTTTGTTTCTCCTCTCTCTCTCTCTCTGAATTCCTCTTGGTCAGGTCAGTGTTTGTCAGCAAAACTCGAGTAAGCTTTAGTTACTGTTGGTCAGGTCAATGTTTGTCAACAAAACTCGAGTAAGCTTTAGTTACCGTTGGTCAGGTCAGGATGTGAACTGGTTGATGTTGATCTAGGTTGTTATGTTGATGTTGATGTTGATGTTGATGTTGATGTTGAGCTCGGTTGCTTTAGTTACATGTATGTTTGCTTCTTATTTGGTTTGTTCATTTGATGATGCATTCTAGAAATTTATATGAATGTGTATTGCTACTATTGCAACTCGAATTTGAGCTCCATCTCGAGCTCAAATAGGGCTCGACTCATAAACGAGCTTGAATCGAGCACCAACTCAGCATCCTCGCCCAAGCTCGAGCCTAGGTTTCCAAAGCTCGGTGAGCTCGAACTCGAGCTCAAAATATTTTGACAAATCAAGCCTCAAGTCCGGTAGTGTTTGGCTCGACTCAATTCGTATACACCCCTAGGTACCATCAAAAGATATAGATTTCAGCTTTAGGTAAATGTCATTTACCTAATATGTGTCTACATATTTGCTTAGCTAAGGAATTTAATGTTTGCTTAGCTAAGGAATTTAATGTTTATAAACTAACTCAAACTCTCACTTGATAACACATGAGATGTGATGTAATAAACCATATCAAAATGGCCTTTACATTCAAAATTTTCTTTGAGAAACTAGGACTTTATCCTTGTTTTGATTTTTAAATACTTAAAATATTAAATAAGACATAGAATTGATAGATAACAATTCAAATAACAATGTAAAGAAATAATATTATACATACAAAGTTGCGTACACAAACAAACATGAAACAAAAAGTGAAAGATTCAAAGTAGTTGTTAAAGTTGAATTTGCCCACATCTCCAATAATGGGCTGTTATGGTGTACATAAGTATGGACTCCTTCCTCCCTTAGCTAGCTTTGGGAGAGAGGTTACCCAAGCCCTCACTTTATCATGTATCAAGCCACGTTTGTTTCTCTCCCCTCTTTGGTTGAGGCGATATGGGTTTAACCCCAACCTTGCACGCCGCAGCGTAGAGAGTGTTAGAAGTGATTTGTCCACATGCCTAATAGTGGGTTGTTATGGTGTACTAAGTTATTAGCCCTCCTCTCTTGAAAGATTGGAGAGGAGTTCTCACCAACCCCTCCACTTTATCAATAGTTAAGTAAATATGCAGAATGAATGGGGTAATTGTAATTATCTTGTGCTAGGCCTATTCTAGTCTTCACAAGCAGTTCAAACAACTTGCGCTTCTAAGGTCTACGAAATTAAGTAAGATCAAAGGAGAGTGAAATCCAATACTCTCTATTTTCTTGAAGTCTAAGAGGCCTAAATGGTCAAATCTAAATTAAATATCTAGTTTTTTTTTTTTGTGTGTGTGTGGTGTGTGTGTGTGTGTGTGGGTTGTTTTTGTTTTGTCATGTCTAATTTAGTGTAAAGTTTGTTATTACATTAAAATATGTGAAAACTAACATTTTGTATGTTTACATACTATGATAATTATGACAATAATAACAAAGTAAAAACTATAAATGTGGTGTGGTGATAATAAAGATCCTGGTGTTATCCAGATGGTGAAATAATGGTGCTGGTATTTTAGATAGTGACTTAAATAGTTTTTATGAAATGAAATAGGAATAGTGACTGAGAGAGGAGGATAGTGGCTTAGATAAAATTTGGATGAAATAAAGGAGGAAACTATGACAGAAACTACTCTTCAATAGGAGATTCTTTAAAGATATTTTTATTAAGGTAAAACTAAAAGATTCCACCTTTTCATTCAGACATAAAATATCTTAGAATAAATGTCAAGTAAACAAACAACTAAAAGTTTAATACTGACATTAAGTTAAATTCATACTTCAAAAATATTACCAAAAAGTAAAAACACATTCAAAGAAAAAATCTAATGATATCCTTTAGGGGCATTATATTGTAATTAGGTACATTAGTATGATATGATGGGGAACACACTACAAACATGCAACATTCCAGTGCAACAAACATGTAATTCTTTTGAACATGAAAACAATGTAGTGACCTGACTCAAGAAACCTTTGACAGAATATCACATATGAATCATCATCTTTCACTAATAAAACCAGGAAGCATTTGCTAATAATCATGTTACGGATAAAGGCCAAAACAATTTTTGAGATAATTAAGGTAGCAGCAGTTTGGAACCTGATGAACAAACTTTACTGATATGGTATATAGAATTTGTTGTTTGCTAGCAAACTAGAAAACTGATAAGATAAGAAGTGTTCTCCTATATTCTACAATGCAAAATTAGGTTGAATTGACCGTATGACAAGAGATTCTTTCTCTGCTTTCAATCAAGACAACTACTATCATAGCACACTATGAACTTAGGATTGACAAGGTAACAGTATCTTTTTCTCATATTCAAAATTACAAAATAGGTGAAGCAGATGACAGTAGAATGGCCATTTCTAACAGAATGTTCTCTATATTTAACAATGCAAAATATAGGTTGAATTGACTGTATGACAAGAGATTCTCTCTCTGCTTTCAATCAAGACAACTACTATGCAACTTAGGATTGACAAGGTATCAAGTATTCTTTTTCTCATATTCTAAAATTACAAAATAGGTGAAGCAGATGACAGTAGAATGGCCATTTCTAACAGAACTGTTCTCCTATATTCTAACAATGCAAAATATAGGTTGAATTGACTGTATGACAAGAGATTCTCTCTCTGCTTTCAATCAAGACAACTACTATGCAACTTAGGATTGACAAGGTATCAGTATCTTTTTCTCATATTCTAAAATTACAAAATAGGTGAAGCAGATGACGGTAGAATGGCCATTTTTAGGAGTGATAAGCAGTTGGAATTTTCATTCAATTCCCATATTCTGAACCAAGGATGCTATGACTAAACCCAGAAGAAGCCTCAAGATAGCAGCTCCTATGATAAAACCTATATATTTGCACTATTTAGTTTTATAGAAGTACCAATGGCTAGTTGGCCTATTTGCAGTGTCCCCTTGTAGATCAAGAGCAAGTTTTGGTTCCTGGTGTTAGGTGGGGAGACATGCCAAAATGACGCAAGCAGAGGGTGAAGATACCCAAACAAACAAACATTGATCAAACTAAGAACTTGTGAATTGGATAAAAAATTGAAAGCTATCTAATTGTTTCGGTGAGGACCAAGAACATGAATTAAGAAAGCTGATCCTACTGGTATTTGATTGACTTCCCTGATTTGGGTTCAGTAAAGAGAGGGAATGTGGTGCTGGCACCAAAAAATTGAAGTGCCAGCGCAACATAGTAACCCTTGAAAAGATCTACAGAATCTCACTTTAGGCAAAAGTTTCACCATTATCCATGGGTTGAATCATTATGTAACCCAATTTAACTAAAAATATAAGCTATAGAAAATCCAATAAAGATAACACTGAATGGTTCTACATCTAGACATGCAAGGCCCAGAGAAGAAAAGCATGATCAATGAGAGGATGTATACATGGCAGTAAAGATAAACATACTCCTGTCTGCATTTCATCCATCTAAAAACCAAATTTGCACCTTAATGATGTTCCTTCTCAGTTGTTAACTCAGCTGCATGAAACTTGTCCTATTTATCATCCCACATAGTTTATAAGAGAACCTAGCTTTAAGCCAAATTGTTCCTGGTCAGTCACAGAAACAAAAAAGACAAAAACAGAAATGATGAGATAGTTAGAAGTCATTTTCACAGCATGAATCACCTATAAGAGAACCTAGATTTAAGCCAAATTGTTCCTGCTCGACCACAGGAAAAAGACAAAAACAGAAATGATGAGATGGTTAGAAGTCATTGGTGCAGCCTGAATCACCTAGTATAGAATAATAGATACACTGACATGCATACCTTTTCTACCATTTTTTCGTCCATCTCCTCTTCTGTCTCTGAACAAGATTGTCTATTTTTGGTTGCTCTTCTTCTCATCATTAACACCACAAGATCATTTTAAATACTACAGCCCATAGAAAGTGAACCACTTTTGATATACACCCAAAAGCTATAATAAAAGAACTTATGTAGTACTTTAATGGAAATTCATTAGAACGACAGGCAATAATTCTGTTAACCTATCACGTATGACAGACAATAATTCTTTAACCTATCATGTATGCATGGACGGTAAGATTTATTGTATGATTCCTCAAAATACTACTATATACACCTCATGTAGAGTCATACAAATTATAATAATGATGACTGCCTCCAAAAATAGTATAAAATTTCAGGTACTTAGATTAGTTTTCTTCAGTACTGATGGTTAGAGAGGCATCTAACAAGGTAAAGGTGTACAAAAGGAAAATTGCAAAAAACAACAGCATGGCAATCAGTGTAGTTCCCATGTATTTGTCAGCTTCAAAAGAGTGAACTGCTTTCTAATTTTTCAGCCACTAGAAATAAGATAAAAGAAAAAGAAACCAACTCCAAAACTTATTGAAACAAACTGGGCGCTATATAAAATAATGAAAAATAAGCCTTCAGATTGTACTCTTAACTGTTACCTGCGCTTGCAAATTTAAGTTTCTAGGAAATTGTCCCCAAGCTGTTTCTAGAAGTAACATGATTTCAACTTCATGAGCTTTGAACAACATAAATTATATCTGCAGGAAGGAAATATAAGAGAAGACATACATAATACCGTTAACAGAGCATATTAATTTGCTTTCTATAAATTCTTTTTATGGTGATTCTTAATGCTGTCTTTAATATTTCTCTACTCAATTAAACAGCAGCATTTAACTGAAACATTTCAAATCTTCTTATACCAGCATGAAATCAGTAATTGAACGATACAACAAATCAAAAGAAGAGCATCATCAACTAGGGAACCCAGCCTCTGAAGTCAAGGTAATCTTCAACTCTAAGCCCAAACTGTCATTTGTAACTTCGTCAGTTCATCTTCAATGCATACTTGATATGATTTCTGTGGCAGTACAGACACATCTATTTAGCTTGCACTGACAAAAAACTAGAATTAGTAATAAAATTAAATATTTGAGTTTTTAGTCTATGAAGCATGGCTTTGTGTAAAAGCAGAGCAGCATATATGACATGCAAAGATCAACATGATCTACCCTGATTTTGTTGCACCCCATAAAGTAGGTTGCCAGCAGAAGAGCAACTGACTACTTTTTGAATTGACCAATGGCTACAAGATATGCCATCAAACAGTATTTTGAAAATGGGTTAACACCACGTAAGGCATCTGAGTCTCTGACAAGCTGGAAGAAAATGGAGCTGAAAAAGTTGTTATACAAAATCCAAAAATTTACTGTTGTGATCGTTGTATCATAGATATTAACTAATTAACCTGGGCTAGCCTGAAATTAAATATCTTAGTTTACAAATTGTTCATATAAATTTTGATCAGAATGGAAGAAAATAAAGATGTGGGAACAAAAACTAAAATCTAAGCTCGACCCTGCATTATGCCTATAAACACAAAATACATGCATATAAGTGTTTGATATTTTACATAGAATTGTTTAGTTTGGTAAGCTTTTAATTCAAAAAAACAAGCATGCTACTCAACAATTACCAGAAACAGTGTCTTTTCATATGTGCTAAATAATGTTCCTTGAGATAAGATTTATTTTAGTCATCATCTGTTATTCATAATGTAATTATGCTCACCAGAACAATCCTAGAATATCAAACCATTTTGTATCTTACTTCTAGTTCTGGCAACGGGAAGCAGCAATATTAAAGCAACAGTTGCAGAATTTGCAAGAAAATCATCGGTATGATCTTCTTTCTTATTATAGCTATTCTTCTGCTAATGTTTACATGTGGGTGATTTCTTTTTAGCATGTTAAGTTTCAATCCTCAACAGTCTTCTCTGCACATGTGGGTGTTCAAGGTTTGCATGCATAAACCTTGAACACACCTCTAGTAACAGTCATAATAGCCAGGACTAAAGTAAGGACTTAAGGATCTAGAATCAACATAGAAAGTCAATCTTCAGAAAAAAATATGCAGGTAACATGAATTCGGCTACAACCAGGATAGATATCTCATCATTTAACAGGTTGAGCTAGAATACTTTACAACATATAAAATGATAGTTGTATATTAACAGTCAAAGGGTATCAATTTCCCATGACATGATAGAAAAGAAACAAGGAATGTATTAACAGCAATTTTTCACAAGCCCTAGCCACAAAATCGGCAAAGCAGAAATGAAACTGATCAGGAATATTCCAGTGAAAGATGAACCTAAATTGATCAACAAAAGCTATGACTAAAAGTAAAAAAAGCTTAAATGGGACAAAAATCAGCCTTTATAAACATCAATAGTACTCCAAGAATAAAAGATGTATTTATGGGCGAAGCATTTATTTGCATCTTATTCTTGACCTCACAAACAAAAATTTGAATACTGAACATACATGTATTTAAAGGCCTAAGCTATACGTCCATATGACAATAACAGACAAATGATGGGCGAAGAGCTCTCTGGTTTGAGTGTAAAGGATCTGCAGAATTTGGAGAACCAATTGGAAATGAGTCTTCGGGGTGTTCGTATGAAAAAGGTTTAAAATTCTTATCTCCCATACAGTGAGTAAAATTCCAATAACTTGGCATATAAAGCACATGACTCTTACTAGCATATTCCTTTTTCTTTTTTCCTTTTTTGCAGGACCAGATTCTAATGGATGAAATACAGGAACTAAACCGAAAGGTCAATCCTAGAAAATGGCTAATGATTTCTACAATCTTATCATTTAAATTCAAGTAGTTAAATCCATCTTCTCTGTTGTAGGGGAGTCTCATTCACCAAGAAAACGTGGAACTCTATAAGAAGGTAAACCTTATTCATCAAGAAAACATCGAATTGAATAAGAAGGTATAGACTTAAATAACTAACACAAAGTTCAATCATCCTTGAAAGACTAGTATGATTCAATCATTAAACCTTTGTTGAATTCTAAGATGTTATAAAACCACCCTCAAACAGAGAAATTACACATCCCAGGCTTATGTTACAAGGGATGTGAATGGCGCAAACAGAGACTCACTGCTTACCAACAGTCTAGGCATCGGGGAGGACTCGCATGTACCTGTCCATCTCCAGCTTAGCCAGCCTCAGCAACAGAGTTATGAGAAACCAGCAAGAGCAACAAAGTTGGGGTATAGTTTCTCCATACCAACAGATGTTTTAATTATTAATACCAAGTACTTTTCAAAAATTTTGATCACAAATAGTTTCCTTTGGAAAATGCAGCAGACTACAACTGCAATAATGAAGTATATGCAACAACGTGGGAATGCTGTTGCTCATTTTCTATCAACATTGCAAAGTTATGCTTCTATTAGTGAGATGTGGTATGTAAACCACAGACCTTTCAGTTAAAAGACTTTGGTTTGAAAATGATTAAAAAATCTAACTTTAGTATGTGCGTTATGATGAAGGAACCCCGCTACTTGTGTAAAGATTAAGTGTAATAAAGAGAAATGAAATTGCACAGGATGTGCAATGCATCATTTAAGAAATTTTAGTCCTTGAAATGGACTACTCGAGATAAAGGTTATACATAATTTCATTTCAGAAAAATTAGATTAATAGATTAAATACTTAGTTGTCTGCTTCAATAAAAAGATACCAACACCATCATGCAGATATTTCAGAAAAGAAAGTACCTAGAGGGAAAGACAGAACCATAAAGCATCTCAAATTTAGTACTTTGAAAACTAAACTAAATGCAAGTTCATTGGAGGAGAACTGTAAAAGTAAATTTTATCGGAGAGGACATGGCAAACAAGCAATGTCTACCTTCTTGTTCTCCTCCACTTAATTTTATATTAAATTTTAAAAACTTACCTCACAATCTGTGTTGCAAAAGTCAAGGACCATCCCATGATAAATAGTCTTCTGTGTTTAAATTAGACAAGAAAAACAACTAGATACAAGATACAAATAACAAAGCATTACATTTTAAAATAAGGCAATAAGGCACTTATTCTTACCCACTTAAAACTAAATGAGATTGTCAGATTGTAGTAAAAAAGTGTTCAACTGAGTGAGACACAGGAAGAAAGAGAGATTTAGATACTTTACACACTACTTGCAAGTTATGTCACAACTTTTTCATACAATTTGATCAGACAACTAGATTTACAAAAATTTATATTACTTGACAGTAGTAAATCATCTTCCATATACTTGTGCAAATCAATTTCCATTTTAGTTTGTTCAGAAAAGTTCAAATGTATATTTAGTAGTGTAGTAACCGGAGTAGAACAATATATGATATTCGTAAAACATGACTGTAATCCTAGAATGTATAAGCCTGTCACAGATAGAAGATCCACCCAAGTCAAATAAGTATTGACAGTAGCCTAAAAATGCCTAAACTGCAGATGCAGAAAACTCATAGCTGGCACAAACATTAAGACTTTCTTGCTTAAATTAAACATATCTTGCATTATGATAACCCACCATTCATAGTGTATATTATGTTTCAAAAAGCACTTCAACAAATATTACATCGACAACCATTGATAAGAAACAGCACTAGAGCTAGGACAGAAGCATCCACAGTTCAGGGTGAAAAACAGTAGCATGCAATCCACTATTGAAGGTTTCAAGATAAAATAAAAAAATAAAAAAATTGTTTTTTTTTTTTTTACAGATGCAAGGTCACATCAAAAAGTCACACTCTGTAGAAATGAGGACTTCAAGATTATTCTGAACCATTCGATATTACTCAAACACTTGAGAGAATACTTTTTTTCTTTTCAATTTTCCTAATATCAAATATTTCCTTCAGAAGATGTAAAAACAAAAGTCAACTTACCAGATTTATCATCAAAAGCCATTCAAATTACACACTAACGAAGTCAAACTCAAAAGAAAAGACTTGTCTTATGATTAATCTCCAGAATAAATTAGTCTATAAATATACTTAGAAAATTTTAAAAAGTCAGAAACGTCTATTTAACTTTCATGTTTCATTTCTTATCATCACAAGAAAAAAACTAAAACACAAGTTCGGCAAGAATTTGAGAATTAATTTCTAAATGAGGAAATTTAAAGAGGGTAAGAACTAAAAAATTGTCAACAAAATTAAAAAATAAATTGCATGGTTTGGATACTAAAAGTCCCTATAAGAAAAAGTGAATAAATATTTTTTTTTTTTTGCAATAAATCCACCTGTGATGTATTTAATGTCTACTCTTACATGCACAGCTGATCCCAAGCCCGGATAAAGGAGGAGGGTTGCAATTAAAACAGATGTCAAACATTTTGATAGTTCCCAATAGCAAGATCCAAGCACAAGGGATACATGTAACTAATTATCATATTTGAAATAGCACTAAATAAAGTTGAACCCCCCCAAATGTATTTATTGTTACAGAAGATCCTTAGGAGCAATTAAGAAGCATCTCCAAATTTTTCGCTTATAGGATCAGCCCAATAAAGTTGCCTTTAACATTCTTGGAATAATATTTAGAACATCACAATAACACAGTCCAAAGTGGTTCAAAATGGTGAAAGACATAAAACAAGTAAAAAGAAAAAATAAAGGGACACCAACGATCTTAGTTAAGAGGGAGAAAGGATTAATAAATGGAAGTGGCAAACAAGGCCTTTCAAGATATTCAATAAATTGTCATCCCAATACAATCTTTCATATGCATATTTTGAGTATGCTTACTTCTTCACAAGCAAGACTTACAAACTGGTTGGAAAAATATTTTAATTGAAAATGATACCATGTCTACTACAGGAGAAAAAAAAAAAAAAAAAAAACTTTCTTTGAAGCCAAACAAAACACTAAGGCTTAGTTTGACATAGAATTGATATACAATGCTAACTTTTTTTTTAAAACAATGAATTCAAGAAATTTTAAGAAAATGCATTTAGTTGAAATGATCTCAAAAATTGAGGCCTGAAATACAATTCTAAAAAGTAAAGTACAATTAAAAAAAAAAAAAGGATAAAAGTCATTTTTCT